CCACGGTAAACTGGACTGCCATGGTGACACTGCTGTGCCACCTGTGAAGGCTACCGACACTGTGGCACACGAGGGGGTGGGTGGCCAGCACCACGCCCGGCCGCCTTTGTCTCCCCAGTGGCGATGTTTACTACACATCGCCATCAGGTTACTCACTTGGGGCTGAGTCAATCTAGGGGCAGACCCAGGACCGGTTAAAATAATCGTCACTGGTGGCGTTGGCCGTGAGCGGGAATCGAACCTGGGTCGCCACCGCTACGCTCACACACAACCCCCCACACACACAAACCCACACACACAAACTCACACACACACGCACACGTGTACACACACTCACACACACCCCCCCACACACACACACCCACACATACCCACACACGCACTCTCACACACACCCCCCCACCCACACACCCTCACACCCCCACACACACACCCTCACACACCCACACACACACACGCACTCTCACACACACACGCACACACACCCCACACACACACACATACCCTCACACACACACACCCCCACACACTCACACACACACACACACCCCCACACACACACGCACTCTCACACACACACGCACACCCACACACACCCCCCCCCCCCCACACACACACACACGCACTCTCACACACACACACACACGTGTGCACACACACACCCACACACACACACACCTCACACACAGACCCCCACACACTCACACCCCCACCCCCACACACTCACACACACACACACCCCCACACACTCACACCCACACACTCACACACACACACCCCCACACACACGCACACACGCACTCTCACACACACACGCACACGTGTGCACACACACACACCCACACACACACACACCCTCACACACACACCCACACACGCACTCTCACACACACTCATCATCAGCTCTCTCACTTGGCCCCGACACTCGAGGGACTTGGGCTTCGGGGAGGAGGGGGGGGGGGATCAGGAAAAGGTGGAGTGTATAAAAGACAGAGCTGCTGCTGCTGATGATTATGAGGATGATGCTGATGCTGCTGCTGATGATGCTGCTGCTGCTGATGATGCTGCTGGCTTGGTGAGGAATCATCATCGTTTATGATTATTATAATTGTCGTAGTTTTTGTTGTTATGCGTGTTGCACTTCTTTCGCACCGCACGTAGCCAACCGTGCTGTGTGTATGTGTGTTGAACTTCTTTCACACCGTACGTAGCCAACCGCGCTGTGTGTGTTAAACTTTTTTCGCACCGTACGTAGCCAACCGTGCTGTGTGTGTGTGTGTGTTGCACTTTTTTCGCGCCCTATTCAAGCCAAACCGTGCCAATCGCAGATCCAGTGAAATGAGTTCGTCAATCTAGATGACGATGACGACGGTGACTTAACAGCAGCACCACACAGCTCCCACTGGCTTGCCCATATCGGAAGGGAGGAACGTTCCAGACGGCCGCAGAAGCAGCGGCGGCATCTGCAAGCGACCACGCGATACTGTGACCCACCGCGACTACGCCGACGCTTTTAGCCGGGGGAATGTGGACTGTGTGCATGAATCCTAATGGTTCCACAGGTGGTGAGTGAATGGGTGAGTGGCTGGCTGAGTGAGATCTTGCGGTGATGGTGGTGGTGGTGGTTGTCCACGTGTTACAGATCTTGTGGTGATGATGGTGATGATGATGGTGATAATCCACGTGTAACTGATCTTGTGATGATGATGGAGATTATGGTGATCCACATGTTACAGATGTTGTGATGATGACGGTGATGATGGTTATGATGGTGATCCACGTGCATCAGATCTTGTGATGTTGGTGATGATGATGATGGTGATCGACATGTTACAGATCTTGCGATGGTGATGATGGTGTTCCATGTGTAACAACGCTTGTGATGGTGATCGTGATGATGGTGATGATGATGGCGGTGATTCACGTTTAACAGATCTTAATCAAAATAATTACTACATTTATAGAGCGATTTTCATCAACGACCTCGAAGCGCTGAACACTACACAGCAACACCAGCAGACATTCGGCATAAAAGTTATATTATAAATACATTTTAAAAAATAATTTACTCAATTAATAAAAAAAAATAAGCGGAAGCGTACACATATGTTATAATGTGCAATTAAAAATGTCCACAGACTTATGGATGTCTCGTGAAAAAGCGTTCCATAGCCCGGGGGCTACACGGGGACAAATCTCGGTCACCCATGGACCGGAATCTTTGACCTGGGAATACAGAGAGAAGATCAGCATCATGTCCAGATCTTAGGGCCCTTGAGGTTGACATATGAGCGTGCATCATGTCATAGGCTGGGGCAAGATGGTTTCACCGCTTTGTTAACAATGGGATTTTAAACTCTATTCTATGTGAAACTGGAAGGGAGTGCAGGGAGGCCGAAACGGGTGCAATACGATGTGAAGTAAGCGTTCTTGTTAACATCCTAGCCAGCTCCATGTTGAGCATGCCCAACATTGATTAGGACCTTCTTAAGACCATACAATATGTCTATAACGAGATGAGATGAAGGCATGAACCAGTTTTTCTGAGGCATGGAAAAAAGATTGGACACGGGAAATATTCCAAAGATGGAAAAATTAAGTATTTATGTTTTTTTTCTTTCTAATAAGAGCCTTGAAGGACAATGTGGGATCACAGATGACCCACTAGATGTGTGACTCCCTGTGCCGAACTGATTGCGGGACCGTCACTCGTAATGTCGAAGGGTGCAGCTTTGTGAAGTTGTTGGGGTGACCCAATGAGCATCACCTCCGTTGAAACACCGTTCGATTGGAGGAAGCTTTGTTGCAACTAACTTTCGTTGGAAACCAGCGCCAAAGTGAGCATGGAGGCATTTGAGCGTCGTCCGCATAGCAATGAAACTTTAGGCCGAGATTTCGGAGCAAATTACCCAGTGGGACCATATGAATGGAAACGAGAAGAGGGCCAATGACTGAACCCTGAGGAGCCCCAAATGAACACGTGCCTGGGAGAAGATTTCAAATCTCACATGGATACAAACTGTTCCCGATTAGCTAGATAAGATCTGGACCAACGGAGAGCAGTTCCTGAAACCCCCATGGATGCTTTCCAAGATGTCACGATCGACGGTGTCAAAGGCTGAACTAAGATCCAGCAAAAGCGAGAATACTGTGCGAGCCAGAGTCAGCAGGGGTCAATGCTTTAACTCAGAGTTGTCTCAGTGTGCTGTGTCCGGCTCTGAACCCAGACTGGAATGGATCCATCAACTCGCGAGAGGACAAACGGTGGTCCAACTGCAAGGTAGCCAGGCGATCAAGGACCGCGGGTAGGAAGGGTAGGTTGGAGATGTGGGCGAGAATTATTTGGAACCTCAGAATCAAGGCCGACGAGGGGTGACAGCTGCACGTTTGAAGGTGGAAGGCACAATTCCAGAGTTGACAGATTGATTAAAAATGTTGCTTACAAATGGGCAGAGTAGATGAAAAAGTTATCGAATTAATTTGGTAGGGCAAGGAATCGAACAAACAAAAGGTGGAACGGGACTGAGCCACCAAACCAGAAATGGTTGATAGGGCAACCTTGAAAAAATAAAATAATAGAGTCCTCAGGGATAGCGGAGAATTTTTTGGAATAAGGGCAGGCGAAGGAGATTGAGGTAATTCGGTGTCGGATGTTATACATTCTATCCAAGAAGAATTTGAGAAATCTACCGCGTTTATCTTTGGATTGGGAAGAGGATGGCTGAGATGGTGGCTTTATCATCCGATCAAATGCAGCAAAAAAGTGCCGTTGGGTTATGAACATTGTTCCCAATTAGATTTGAGAAGAAACACGCTCTAGTCTGGTGTAAGGCATCTCCGTGAATTGACTGATGATGTTTATAAAAATCTGCAAATTGACTCTAAGACCAGATTTCAAGTCCGCTCCAATTTTCGCACGGTTACCTTAAAGGAGTGAATCCCATCACGAAACCAAGGCGCAGATTGATCAGTAGATATTTCCTTGGATTTAAGTGGGTCCAAGGCATCAAGGATGGATCTGAGAGAATCATGATCAACCTTCACCACGTCATCTTGAGCTCAGAAATCATTTTCATAATTACCACCATCTTCTGATGGTGATCGTGATGATGGTGATGATGCTGATGGTGGTGATCCACGTGTAACAGATCTTCTGATGGAGATGATGATGATGGTGATCCACGTGTAACAGATCTTATGATGGTAATGATGATGATGGTGATCCACGTGTAACAAATATTGTGATGATGATCGTGATGATGGTGATTGTGATGATGATGTTTCTTTTTTATTCTATTCAGATTTCTCACCAACCTCGGAGGATGTATTTTTGCGAGCTTTCAAGTTCGTCAAAAACCCAATCCTTCATTAATCACACGGTGCGTGACCTGAAAAAGAACGGGATTTATAGGCGACGTTTCGGGCAATGGCCCATCTTCACGGCACATGAATAAAGTGCACAAGATATGTCCATCTCGGGATGACATTGAATGGAAGAATTCTCCAAATATCCCTCTGAAAGGCAATGAGAGGTGATCCGTGGTGATGAGGATGAGAATGATGATGACTATGATAGTGGTGGTGAAGACCGAAGGATCATAGTGTGTGTTGTGAGTCTGGGCACCTCAGAGACAGCTGCCCCACAAAAACCACTACAACCACCACCACAACCACCACCGCAACCACCTTTCTCCGTCTCGCTAATCTCCATCACCACCCACCAACGAGACCCCTGACGATCCCACCATCACCAACGTTGCCATAACGACCACCACCGCTACTGTCACTATCACCACCATCCATCCACCTATCATCACCACCACCTCACCAAGCATTGCTAATGAAACTTAATTTGGAGCTTTCGTGACTGCAGGAATTACTCTTTGGTTCTTTCGATAAAGTCACGTATAAAGATAAAATAATAAATTTATCCATCACCTACCACCACCATCACCACCACCACCACCTCGCCCAGCATCTCCGATCTTTATCCATCACTCACCACCACCACACTAAGTACGTGGAAGCCTATCACCACCACCATGGACTCGAACTCATCTTCATCATCTTCCGTCTCCGGCACGCTCATCTTGATCGCTGGCCTGCTGCGTGAGCCGGCCGGCACGCGGCCGCTCGTCTTCACCGTCGTCCTCTTCTTCTACTCCGTGGCGCTCGTCGGCAACCTGCTGCTGTGCGCCGCCATCTACCGGGACGTGCGCCTCCACAGGCCCATGTTCATTCTGCTCGCCAACCTGGCCATCAGCGACATCGTCGGCTGCTCCGCCACGCTGCCGCGCATCATGCACGACCTGGTGGCGCCCAACTTGATCTCGGTGGGCGAGTGCATCACCCAGATGCTCGCCATCCAGTTCTACCGCGCGCTCGAGTGCTACGTGCTCACGGCGATGGCGCTCGACCGCTACGCGGCCATCTGCAGGCCGCTGCACTACCACGCGGTCGTGACGAACGGGCGTGCGGCCGCGGCCAACGCGGCCGTAGTGGTCGTGTCGGCGCTGCTCGTCTCCGTGCTGCTCATCCTCACCTCGAGGCTCAACTTCTACAACTGCGACAGGCCCAAGGCCGTGTACGCGGCGCAGTGCGATAACGTGCAGGTGAGTGGAAGAGTCCGCGTGAGTGTGTGCCCAAAGGAAAGGATGCTTTCCACTGGCACTTCCGAGCCGAGCCAGCACACTTCGGATTATTATTGTTTTCCACTGGCACATTCTAGTCAAGCCGGCATGGTACGGGTGTTTTTTTTCTTATTACCACTGGCACATCCGAGCTGTGCCAGCATGGTACGGGTGTTTTTTTTTACTATCACTGGCACAATCAAGCTGTGCCAGCATGGTACGGGTGTCTTTTTTTTTACTACCACTGGCACATCCGAGCCGTGCCAGCATGGTACGGGTGTGTTTTTCTTACTACCACTGGCACATCCGAGCCGTGCCAGCATGGTACGGGTGTTTTTTTTTCTTACTACCACTGGCACATTCGAGCCGTGCCAGCATGGTACGGGTGTTTTTTTTTACTATCACTGGCACAATAAAGCTGTGCCAGCATGGTACGGGTGTCTTTTTTTTTACTACCACTGGCACATCCGAGCCGTGCCAGCATGGTACGGGTGTGTTTTTCTTACTACCACTGGCACATCCGAGCCGTGCCAGCATGGTACGGGTGTTTTTTTTTCTTACTACCACTGGCACATCCGAGCTGTGCCAGCATGGTACGGGTGTTTTTTTTTACTATCACTGGCACAATCAAGCTGTGCCAGCATGGTACGGGTGTCTTTTTTTTTACTACCACTGGCACATCCGAGCCGTGCCAGCATGGTACGGGTGTGTTTTTCTTACTACCACTGGCACATCCGAGCCGTGCCAGCATGGTACGGGTGTTTTTTTTTCTTACTACCACTGGCACATTCGAGCCGTGCCAGCATGGTACGGGTGTTTTTTTTTACTATCACTGGCACAATAAAGCTGTGCCAGCATGGTACGGGTGTCTTTTTTTTTACTACCACTGGCACATCCGAGCCGTGCCAGCATGGTACGGGTGTGTTTTTCTTACTACCACTGGCACATCCGAGCCGTGCCAGCATGGTACGGGTGTTTTTTTTTTCTTACTACCACTGGCACATTCGAGCCGTGCCAGCATGGTACGGGTGTTTTTTTTTACTATCACTGGCACAATAAAGCTGTGCCAGCATGGTACGGGTGTCTTTTTTTTTACTACCACTGGCACATCCGAGCCGTGCCAGCATGGTACGGGTGTTTTTTTTGTTACTACCACTGGCACATCCGAGCCGTGCCAGCACGGTACATGGAGCAACCACCAGGTGGCAAAAGCGCCGAATGGCAAAGCTTGACCGGTTATCCGCCACCGACGCTAACAACGTTATGCAGTGAAACCGCTCCGAAGGCTGTAACCAGGACGGGCGATAGGCACCGTGTAGCGAGTGAGTAAAAAAAGTAGCTACGCTTGATTTCATTGTCAAATATTACAGACGGTACATGGTACACTACATGCAACTTAAACAATGGAAACACTAAATTTCGATTTAAAGCTTTCGTGACTGCAGGGATTCATCTTCTTGGTTCGTTTGGTAAAGTCACGTAGAAGGGAAATAATAAAATAATAAAAATTAAACACAATAAAATAATTCTCACGACGTTTTGGCCACAACGCAAGCAGCCGTCATCAGGTGAAGAACAGGTCTGTCGGAAAGACAGCGTCATTCAGACGCTGTCTTTCCGACAGACCTGTTCATTCAGACGCTGCCTTTCCGACAGACCTGTTCTTCACCTGAGGACGGCTGCTTGCGTTGTGGCCGAAACGTCGTAAGAATTATTTTATTATGTTTTATTTTTATTATTTTATTATTTCCCTTCTACGTGACTGTACTGTGCGTATTGTAAATACATCACGCCGTGGTGGAGAGTCTTCAAGACTGGAGTGGTAAGTACGGTATATGGTAAAAACGGTAACTGTATTCAAATAAGGACATTTACTTTTGTCTCTTAGTACACTTACTTATGCCAATACCACAGAGCGAACAAATGTAAAACACCGGTTAAAACACACGCAGCACCTTAATAAGCTATTTTAATAAGATATTTTAAACAACGATTCGATTGTCCGGTGTAGCGTACCTCATCAGAGTCATTCTACAGTGTCTATCTTGCCGATAAATAAAGACCTTAATCTCTTTGTCTCAAAGACACCTGGGGTACTTCCCGACAAGATAGAAAACAGAAATTTGCTAAACAGGTAGCTTTTAGGTCACAAAACAACACGGGACAAAAAAAAAGCTATCTTCTATATAAATAAAGACCTTAATCTGTAGATCACAAAAGAACATCTAGGCAACTTCTCGACTAGGTAGAAAGATGACATTTGCTACACAGGTAGCTTTTAGGACACAAACAACAGGAGAAAGAAATCTGAATATCTGAGATTTCAATTTTCAAGGCCCTCAAATCTCGATGTTTAAGTGCCCAGTAAACACGTTTGTGCCTGGTGTCATTCAGAAACCGTTCAAAATATAATGCGGTTGTTTCTTTTTTTCCTTTGATAGAGCATCAGACGGCGGATAAAATTAAAGCGAGAACGACTGATGGGGTTCTATATTTTATTGTTCTTTGAAATATTTCGGATCCAAGCGGGTTTGAACGAAAAAAATCTGCATTTTATGATTTTCACATTTGAATAATTCAAAGATGGTAAAATATAGCAGAGGGTCCCCTGGTAGACTAATAATAAAAAAAAATGTATCTTTCTCATAATAATAAATAAATTACGCAAACTTTAAATTGAGCGGTTGTGTTTCGAAGTTGAATCAAGTCGTCAACAATTATTGTGCGAATTTGCGGAAATATTCAAAAATTTTGGAATTAAATTGTTAAGTGGTCTCAGATCGCAGATACAAAATTGAAATTTGAAAAAATCACATGGGATCCATTTTCTTGGTTCTTTCGGTAAATTCACGTAGAATGGAAATAATAAAATGATAATAAAAAATTTAACAAAATAAAATAATTCTCACGACGTTTCGGCCAAAACGCAAGCAGCCGTCCTCAGGTGAAGAACAGGTCTGTCGAGAAGACTCTGTCTGCTTGAGTTGTGGCCGAAACGTCGTGAGAATTATTTTATTATGATTTTAATTTTATATTTTATTATTTCCCTTCTACGCGACGTTACCGAAAGAACCAAGAAGATGAATCCCTGCAGTCACGAAAGCTTTAAATCGAAATGGGATCCATTGTTATATTTACTGAACAACTATTTTTTGGGCCTGGCGAAGACAGCCAACCCTTTGAGAACGAGTAAAATAAATATTCTGATTCTTCCCATCGATGACCAACCTGAGAGTCACGTAGATTCCCCACCTCTGCCCGCCCGTCCGCCCCCGCAGCTTCTGAACTTTGCGTGCAGCGACGGCACGGCCAACAACGTGTACGGCCTCGTGCTCACCTCCTGCACGGTGGGCCTGTCGCTGGCCGCCGTCTCGTTCTCCTACGCGAGCATCATCTACGAGTGCCGCTTCCGCGGAACGAGCAGAGACACGGCGGCCAGCAAGGGCCATCAGAAGGCCATGCAGACGTGCGTCACCCACCTTCTCGTGCTCGCAGTCTTCTACCTTCCCGTCCTCTTCCTGGTCACCTACAATCGCGTGGACAAGTACCTGCCCATCCCGGACGCCGCTCGACAACTCCTCGGAGGGCTCTTCTACCTCGCCCCGCCGGCGCTCAACCCCATCATCTACGGGGTGCGGACCAAAGAGATCCGCAAGGCAATGCTCAGGATCCTGTGCTGCAAATTTGGACGCGACTCCGTGACGCCAGGCGACGAAGGGCACTAGCGATGCTGTGACCCGGCACGGTACGGGTGGGTTGTTTTTCTCCACTGGCACATCCGTGCTGAGCTAGTACGGTTTTGGTGGGGTTTTTTCCCCCCACACTGGCACATCCGCGCTGAGCCAGCACGGTTTGGGTGTTTTTTTTGTTTTCCTCCCACTGGCACATCCGAGCCGAGCCAGCACAGTATGGGTGTTTTTAAATCCTTTATATTAAGTTCGTTTGCTTGCGTGCTTGCGTGCTTGCTTGCTTACGACAGTGCAAATCTTTCGGTCGTTTTTTAACCCACTTCCCGTGATCCAATCGAGCTGACATTTTGCACACAGACTCGTTGTGCGAGACAATTAATGTTCGTGAAATTTTTTTTTCCAAAATTTTACACTGTTTAGGGAAAACAAATAAAATATTTAATTACCAATTGCTTAATACTGGCAGACAATCATCTGACCCATAGGTGGCAGCCATCTCAAGCCAGAGGACGAGAGGACTCTAGCCGCCACGCATATAAAGGATTTATAGTGAAAAACTTTGTTTTTACGGGTTTACTTATTTTCCACTGGCATATCCGTGCCGAGTCAGCACCGTTCGGGTGTTTTTTCTTTGTTTGCTTTCTCCCCACAGGCACATCTGAGCCGAGACAGCACGGTACGATTGTTGTTTGTTCGACTGGATATCTGCCGAAGCTGTGCCGAAACCAAACACTGATGAGCACGCTTTAAATCACAAACAGACGTCTGAAACTGGCTCGGGGCCAAGCAGGGCCAGGGGCAGGGCAAATTAATCGTCCATTGCATTGTGACGTCACCGCGTCGTCAGCACACGTCAGGTTCATATCGTGTGACATCAGAGGCACGGCTCGACTTCGACGTTGGATAAACACCTCGGCGCCGCACACATGTACACACACCTTGTGTGTACACACACCTTGTGTGTACACACACACACACGGCTCCCTCACCTTTCTCTCTCTAACACACACTTCACACACCGTACGTAGCCAACCATACATGCCTCACACATCACACACACACACACACGAGTACCTGAACTCATACACAAAACACACCTCACTCGCACAAAGGACACGTCCAATTCACCCACGCAGTACAAACAAAGACAAAGTGGGTGGGTGGCCAGCACCACGCCCGACCGCCTTTGTCTCCCCCAGTGGCGATGATGTTTACACACCGCACCGGGAACTCATTTGAGGCCGAGCCGACCTAGGGGAGGCCCAGGACCGGTTCAGACAATCGTCAACTGGTGTTACATAATATATTTACAGATATAAAAACAAAGATCCCCCGTATAGCCTTAACAAACTGTTTGGGCAAGTGCTGTTAGCGAGCACCTATGGAGGCCGGCACGGTACATGAGGGAGTGAGTGGCCAGCACCACGCCCGACCGCCTTTGTCTCCCCAGTGGCGATGTTTACCCACCACACCAGGTACTCATTTGAGGCTGAGTCGAGCTAGAGGAGGCCCAGGACTAGTTCAATTGATCGTCAATGATGTTGGTCGTAAGCGACAATCGAACTCAGGTCACCAGGTTCGTAGCGCCACGTGCTTACCGCTGCCATACAGCATCACAAAAACAAAGATCCTCCCTATAGCCTTAACAGACTGTAGGGGCAAGTGCTGTTAGCGAGCACCTATAAAGGCCGGAACGGTACACGACGGGGTTGGTGGCCAGGACCACGCCCGACCGCCTTTGTCTCCCCAGTGGCGATGTTTACACACCGCACCAGGTACTCATTTCAGGCTGAGTCGAGCTAGAGGAGGCCCAGGACCGGTTCAGATAATCGTCACTGGTGTTGCTGCACCACACACACACTCTCACGCAATCGACTGAATTGAATGTATCAAAGCACGTGGTCAATTGTATCAAAGCACGTGATCAATCGCATAAAATCACGTGATCAATTGCATCAAACCACGTGATCAATTGTATCAAATCACGTGATCAATTGTATCAAACCACGTGATCAATCGTATCAAATCACGTGATCAACTGTATAAAAGCACGTGATCATTTGTATCAAACCACGTGGTCAATTGTATCAAAGCACGTGATCAATCGTATCAAATCACGTGATCAACTGTATAAAAGCACGTGATCAATTGTATCAAATCACGTGATCAATTGTATAAAAGCACGTGATCAATTGTATCAAATCACGTGATCAATTGTATCAAAGCACGCGGTCTATTGTGGTCACGGTGTCAACTTCACGTATTTATTCAGTTCTCTGTGAGCGCGCATTTCATAATTCGATGTACTATCGATGATTCGCGTATGGTACGCTTCCTCAGTGTTCACATTAAAACACACCCATCGATATGATCTATAAATATACACGCGTATGATTATTATTATTGTCGTAGTATATCAAAGCGGTTCTGTCGAGAAAAGTTGAGATTTCGGATTGGTCGAAGGTATTGGCGGCGTTCGGGGCACCGCGTTGCCAATCGACATCGACGCGGATGCTGACGTAGGATTATTTTTATTGATAACGGAAGCCCGCGATGATGGCAGCCTCCGTCGGGTTGCGCCAGAATGCGACCTCTGCGCGGGTGAGTTTTAACGAAATGCGATTTGACGACTTGTTAAGATCTTCCTGGTTCTTTCGGTAAAGTCACGTAGAAGGGAAATAATAAAATAACAAAAATAAAACACAATAAAATAATTCTCACGACGTTTCGGCCACAACCTGAGGACGGCTGCTTGCGTTGTGGCCGAAACGTCGTGGGAATTATTTTATTATGTTTTATTTTTGTTATTTTATTATTTCCCTTCTACGTGACTTTACCGACAGAACCAAGAAGATGAATCCCTGCAGTCACGAAAGCTTTAAATCGAAATATAATAATATTATATTATTATATTAGTTTATTATATTATATTATTATATACTTGTATTATATTATGTTATTATATTATAATGTTGTATTTTTGTTATTTATTATTTCCCTTCTACGTGACTTTACCGACAGAACCAAGAAGATGAATCCCTGCAGTCACGAAAGCTTTAAATCGAAATATAATAATATTATATTATTATATTAGTTTATTATATTATATTATTATATACTTGTATTATATTATGTTATTATATTATAATGTTGTATTTTTGTTATTTATTATTTCCCTTCTACGTGACTTTACCGACAGAACCAAGAAGATGAATCCCTGCAGTCACGAAAGCTTTAAATCGAGACTTGTTAAGATGCGAACCATGCCCGTGCAGTGCTCGGCCGAGCTGCGTCTGCTGCCAATGCCGCGAAATGGAACCACCACGATGCCCCTGCTGTTGATCTCGCCAGCAAAGAGCTATACACCGTCATCAGCATCGTCACGCGAAACTCCGGGGGTCATCCTTGCAGCAGCAGCGGCTTCGTCATCACAATCATCAATCATCACGACCATTATCTTCTGGCTCAGCCATCGAACAAAGGCGGTGGTCACCGCATCATCATCAGCACCATCATCATCAGCACCATCATCATCAGCACCATCTTCATCAGCACCATCATCATCAATACCATCATCATCATCATCACCCTGATCATCACCATCATCAGCATCAGAACCATCATCATCAGCACCATCATCATCAATACCATCATCATCATCATCACCCTGATCATCATCATCAGCATCAGCATCAGAACCATCATCATCAGCACCATCATCATCAATACTATCATCATCGTCATCACCCTGATCATCACCATCATCATCAGCACCATCAGCATCAGCACCATCATCATCAGCACCATCACCATCAATACCATCATCATCATCAGCATCATCATCAGCATCATCATCAGAACCATCATCATCAGCATCATCATCAGCACCATCATCATCAGCACCATCATCATCAATACCATCATCATCATCACCCTGATCATCACCATCATCAGCACCATCATCATCAGCACCATCATCATCAATACCATCATCATCACCCTGATCATCACCATCATCATCATCCCGCGGCGCTTTCAGATGCCGCTGTTTCCACGTCCGTCCGTCTGGAACACTCTTCCTACCGATGTTACCAAGCCACTGGGAGCTATGATACAATTTGAAATCGTCTAAATTGACAAACTCATTCTTTTTAGAACTCCTTCTCGTGTTTAGTTTGTTGTCCTTTCATCACACCTTCGATTACACGGTTGGCTACGCACGGTGTGATAGATGTTCAACATAAATTTCGATTTAAAGCTTTCGTGACTGCAGGGATTCATCTTCTTGGTTCTTTCGGTAAAGTCACGTAGAAGGGAAATAATAAAATAATAAAAATAAAACATAATAAAATAATTCTCACGACGTTTCGGCCACAACGCAAGCAGCCGTCCTCAGGTGAAGAACAGGTCTGCCGGGAGAGAGCGTCTGTCTTCCCGACAGACCTGTTCTTCACCTGAGGACGGCTGCTTGCGTTGTGGCCGAAACGTCGTGAGAATGATTTTATTATATTTTATTTTTATTATTTTATTATTTCCCTTCTATGTGACTTTACCGAAAAAACCAAGAAAATGTTCAACATACATACATAACACGGTTGGCTACGTATGGTTGGATAGATGTTCAACAAACACCGTCCTCTCTTTACCAATTGTGCCTTCAGCCAATGAATGAGTTGTTCATAGCGTGTGAGCGGAAACCGGAGCACACCCGGAGGAGGAAACAGCACTCGTGTGCGAGTGGGCGACGTTCCATTCCATACAGAAGGAACAAATGGAGATTAGTCCACACACTTTGCTGCTCTACCGCCTTGTAAGCGGGCAGAGCCCAGGGGTATGGCGCCTCCTAGAAAACTACCCACGGGTATAAGGGAGTGAGATGGAACAGATGGAGATGAGTCTACCCACGGGCAGAAGGGAGTGAGATGGAACAGATGGAGATGAGTCTACCCACGGGCAGAAGGGAGTGAGATGGAACAGATGGAGATTAGTCCACCCACAGGTATAAGGGAGTGAGATGGAACAGATGGAGATTAGTCCACACACGGGTAGAAGGGAGTGAGATGGAACAGA